GGAGGCGGAGGAGGAGGAGGTGCGGAGGCGGAGGCGGGCGGGAGGCGGAGGCGGAGGCGGAGGCGGAGGCGAGGCGGAGGCGGAGGCGGAGGCGGAGGCGGAGGCGGAGGTTGAGGCGGAGGCGGAGGCGGAGGCGGAGGTGGAGGCGGAGGCGGAGGCGGAGGCGGAGGCGGAGGCGGAGGAGGCGGAGGCGGAGGCGGAGGCGGAGGCGGTGGCGGAGGAGGGGAGGAGGAGGAGGAGGAGGAGGATGGGGAGGGAGGAGGGAGGAAGGAGGAGGGAGGAGGGAGGGGGATGAAGAGGAGGAGGAGGAGGAGGAGGAGGAGGCGGAGGAGGCGGAGGGAATATAATAATAATAATAATATTGATAATACCAATACTACTAACATTATCAATACTAATAATAATATTATTACTAATAATAATAGTAGTAATAATATTCGTAATACTAATACTGCTAATGATAATACTAATGAGAATACTAATAATAATAATAATAATAATGATGATACTGTTAATAATATTACTAATGATAGTAATGATAATACTAATAATTATAATACTAATAATACTACTACTAATATTATTATTATTATTAATAATAATACTAATACTAATAATAATACTACTAATAATAATAGTAATAATAATAATACTGTTAGTATTATTATTAATAATAATAATAATACTAATAATAATATTAGTATTGTTAATATTAATAATAATACTGGGACTTTGAAACTTAAAAAGAGGAGGAGGAGAAGAGGAGGGAGGAGGAGGAGGGAGGAGGAGAGGAGGAGGAGGGAGGGAGGAGGAGGACGAGGAGGGCGGAGGAGGCGGAGGGCGGAGGAGGCGGAGGCGAGGGCGGAGGAGGCGGAGGCGGGGAGGCGGAGGAGGAGGATGATGATGAGGAGGAGGGAGGAGGAGGAGGAGGAGGAGGGAGGAGGGAGGAGGGAGGAGGAGGAGGAGGAGGGAGGAGGAGGAGGAGGAGAGAGGAGGAGGAGGAGGAGGAGGAGGCGGGGGAGGAGGAGGCGGAGGAGGAGGAGGAGGAAGAGGAATAATACTATTACGAATAAGAATAAGACTACTAACACGAATACGAATACGAACACTACTAATACTAATACTAATAATACTAACAATAGTACTAAGTAGAAGAATAAGACGACGAAGACGAGGAATATTAATAATCAGAGTAAGAAGAAGACGAGTACTAATACTACCAAGAATAATAATACGAAGAAGAAGAATGATACTACGAATAAAAAGAAGACGCATAATAATAATACTGATGATACTACTAATAAGAAGCATACTATTACTGCGAGAAATAAGAGGAATAAACATGATACGACTACTAATAAGACACATAATGATAATAAGCATACGAAGACGAATAATAAAACGAAGCCGAACCATACTACTACGAATAATAATAATGCTAAGAATACTAAGGCGAATCAGAAGAAACACAGATGACTACGAATAACAATAAGCATAATAATAGTAATCGTACGAATCAGAAGAATACTAACAATATGACTACTACTAATAATAATGATGATGACAATGATAATAATAATAATAAGAACAATATTAATACTAATAAGAAGAAGCATAATAATAATATTGATAATGAGAAGAAAAATAAGGATACTATCAATGCTAATACGAATCCTACTACTATGGCTAAGCATAATATTAATAGTAATAATACTAATACTAATACTAATAATACTAATAATAATACTAATAATTATATTATCATTTTTATTAATAATAATACTAATGCTAATGCTACTACTACTACTACTACTACTACTACTACTACTACTACTACTACTACTACTACTACTACTACTACGACTACTACTACTACTACTACTAATCATAATAATAATAATGCTACTAATAACAAGACTATGAAAATTAAAAAAGAGGAGGAGGAGGAGGAGGAGGAGGAGGAGGGAGGAGGAGGGATGAGGAGGGAGGAGGAGGAGGGAGGAGGAGGAGGAGGAGGAGGAGGAGGAGGAGGAGGAGGAGGAGGAGGAGGTGGAGGAGGAGGTGAGGAGGAGGAGGAGGAGGAGGAGGAGGAGGAGGAGGAGGAGGAGGAGGAGGGAGGAGGAGGAGGAGGGAGGAGGAGGAAGGAGGAGGAGGAGGAGGAGGAGGAGGAGGAGGAGGAGGAGGAGGAGGAGGAGGAGGAGGAGGAGGAGGAGGAGGAGGAGGAGGAGGAGGAGGAGGAGGAGGAGGAGGAGGAGGAGGAGGAGGAGGAGGAGGAGGAGGAGGAGGAGGAGGCGGAGGAGGAGGAGGACCATAGTCACGGCGAGGACCGAGAGGGACGCGGACAGGAGAGGGCAAAGGCGGACGGAGGCTCCGCAAAACCCACGTGCGGGGAGAGTCGCAGTGCCGCCCATGACACGACCGGAAACGAGAGCAGTGGCCGAGCTGTGACTCGAATCTAAGCGATAGTAGCGCGCACGTGGTTTGAGCACGTACATATATATATATATATATATACAAACATATTCATACACACACAGCTGGTAAACCACACGAGTATAGCCGGATGGGAAGTAACATAGCCAGTCGAGCAGAGCCTGATGGTAAACAACATCTACACATCTTTATATATGCGTGGATGTGCTTACCGCCCTTTGTGGATCATCTCGGATTGCTTTGATGCTGACGAGCTGCTGTTTGAAGTCTCATGCCCCTCCTTGGGCCCCCGCAGGCCTCTGCCGACTCCTTGCGCAGGGCCCTCCCGCGCCGGGGCCGCGCCGTGAGCAAAATTGGCACCGCCCACCAGCGCTGCACTGGGCCGCGAAGGAGCGCCACGCCGGGATCTGCGCGGAGCTGCTCCGGAGCGGCGCAGGACGAGAGCCTTTGTTTGTTCTGTCGTCTGGGTAAGACTCCCCCTGAGATCCGGGCGTTGCAATTATTTCACACTGGGCGCTTTCGCCCGATTCCGGGCGCCGGGGCCGTCCCGTATCGACCTGGCTAGAGAAATGCTGCAGAAAGATGAGGCGAAGAGCTCCGGTGGTGATTTCTCGCGATTTTGCAGTTTCTTCGCAGCGTCGGATCTCAGAGACGGCTTCGGGTTGCGCACAGACAGGCCTCCCAGGTCCCGGCTGGCCTCAACAGGCCCTCCGAGTAGTCCCAGCTGGCTTCCACAGGCCCCTTGAGGAAGCCTGGGCGGTCTCAACACCTCAACCCGGGGGCGCGGATCGCCCCAGGGGCGCCTCGGGAGGCGGCGCAAGGGTGTTGAGACCGCCCAGGCTACTCGGGGGGCCTGCTGAGGCCAGCCAGGACTGCATGGGGGGCTGTCTGTGCGCAGCCCGAAGCTTTACTAGTTTGCTCTGTGGTGTGTGCTCGGGAGCCACATCTCAGCGCGGCCGCTCGGGGAGAACCTGTGCGGATGCTGCCAGCTCCTCACCCCGTCGATTACTTAGTTTCATGTTTTCGTGTCCATCACTCACCGGTCACTGAAAATAGATCCCAATAGTGTTGAGGTGCTTTCATATTTCAAGGGTCGAGCTGTTTTCTTTCTTTCATCCTATTCAGGAAGCGGGCGGCAATCCAATCTAAGTTTAACGCCTTTCTACTTCATGATTCTACCCACTTCTCCCGTTTTATGTGTACCTGATTAGTTGCCTTCGGCTCATCCCGTCACCGTTCCTGGATTGTGTGCCAGAGTCCTCTTGGATGCCTATCGGGGGCCTTTTGGGATGCCTCTCGGAGGGCTGTTCGCAGGCACCTCTTGTGCGCCACTTGGGGGCTTCGGAGGGCCCGTTGGGAGCCTGTTGGCGGTCTCGGGGGCCATCCTTGCACTACCAGATGGCTCTCGGGGCGAGCTCGTGTTACCCCCTCCTTGGTCAAACAAGTTGTTGTTGCGTTTTGCAAATGTTTGTCCAGCACTGTTTTTTCTCTACAAAAATTGTTCACGCTTCGCGAATCCCCACCAGCCAAATCAGAAGCTCTGCCCATGAGAGCTGACGGGGAAAGGGACGAAGAGACACATATGGTGAAACAGAGCATGCAAGGAGAGGAGAGGAAGCATGGCGTTGAGCCATTTTGGATGCTATCTTGGAGCATCGGAGGCCTTCTTGGAGCTACGGGTTTGTATTGGGGGATATTGGGCTCTTCTTGGAGCTCTTTTGGGCCATCTTGGGGCCCTCTTGGGGCTCTTTGGGGGGTCTTGGGGTCCTCTTGGGCTCTTTTGGGGCGCCCTGGGGCCCTCATGGGGCCCTCTTTGGGCTCTCTTGGGGCTCTCTTGGGGCCCTCTTGGGAAATATGGAGCGCCTCCTTGGGCCATCTTGGAGACCATCGGTCAAAGGAGGGGGGTCCTCGATTTCCCCCTCCCTCCAGGGTCATCGAAATAGCCTATTGGGGCGCTCTTGGGGCCCTCTTGGGGCGATCTTTGGCGCTCTTTGGGCAGTCTTGGGGGCCTCGTGGGCCCTTCTTGGAGCTCTCTTGGGCCATCTGAGGGCCATCTTGAGGCTTCTAAAGCGCATTGGAAGGGAAAAGGTGAGAAGGCACACATCAGTGATTTTCTTGAGGTTTTTGAAGGGTTTTGGCCTCTCAGGGGGGTCCGGAGGGGTCGCCAAAAGCACCTGGAACCGTTCTGTGGCCCTCTTCGGGCCTCTTGGAGGCATGCTGTTAGCTATCTTGAGCCATGTTCGGATATCTTGAGCGATCTTGGAGGCCATCTTGTGCTCTCTGTTCGAAGAGAAAGGAACACATCGTTAGACCACCTGCGCCCGGAGGGCTGGTGGGATTTCACGCCACGATCTCTAGCAGCGCCCATGTAGCGCTTGCACTTTCCAATGCAGTGATATCGGACAGACCTTAGGACATTCCACTTAGTGCCTACGGCACGGTGGCGGATGTGCCCTCTGGCAAGTGCTACGAGCGTGCGTGTGAGCTTGGGAAGTTCGATGTCAGCTACCAGCATGTTTGACTAGGCCACAGGCGCGTTGATAATATGTCGCCCAGACATCGCGCTCGCCAACACAGACGGCAAGACGCCCGTGCAGGTTGCTGCCGAGCAGGACGGCTCCGCCCCACGTACATGATATTAACGGTATCCCACTGCTGTACCAGTAGTGCCCATCCCTGTTGCTTCTCATTCTCCACTCCCCTTCGCTTTCTGTCTTCGTCCTTCTCATCCTCCCTCCTCCTAGTTCCCTTCGTTTCCTTTCTCCCCGTTTCCGCGTAAAATCTTCAGCCCCATGTGGTCGTTCCCTTCGTTTCATTTGTCCTCATCCTCCTCTCCTGCTCCCCCTGAACCAATGTGGTACGTTGAAGGCGGGGGGGTCGGAGGACGCCGAATCTTCACCTTCAACGATCCTGGCCAGATCAGCCCTGGGCCCAGAATTTGTGTTAGCGCTGTCCTCGCCGAGCCGCCAGGACGGCGTTTGCCCGATCCTGGGCCTCGGATCGGCCTGGCCAGGATCCGTGTAAGTGTACAGTTGGCGTCCTCCGAAGAGTGGCCCTGAGCTACTTCGCCTTTCTCAGCCTCCACGGGCCCTTCCCGGTCCGCGGGACGGTTCAATCGTAGTTCTGGGTGGGAGTTTGGTGCCCGGGAAAGCCGATGGAGGAGGTGGAGGGACGAAGGAAGGAAGGAAGGAAGAGGACTAAAGGCAGGAGCAGGAGGAGGTGGAGAAATGAGGAGGAAGGAGGAGGGACGAGGGAGGATGCATGGTGGAGCGCTTCTTCATTTCGTGCCCTGCCCCAGGCCCCAGGGCTCGTCCCCAGACATCCGACGATATGTTTTTTACACGCGGCCCAAGATGTCCTGACCCCTTCCTTGGGGCCAGTTTTTCGCCCCGGATCCATGCTTGATGGTACCTGAGCCACGTCCGGGGCCCCAGCCGATGAAGAACTGGCGGTTGAACACTTCTTATCGTCGGAGATTTGGGTCCTCTTCGTCGTCGTCCTCCTCCTCCTCCTCCTCCTCCTCCTCCTCCTCGGTCTCCCTCGGGGCCACCTCCGCAGCCTTTTTTTCGCTCAAGGCGCGGTCGAGCTCGAGCCGCTCTTGGATCGCCGGCTCGGCCCCACGAGTCCGCCCCCAGGCCGCTCGCGCAGGAAGCTCGCGACGCCATGGCGCGGGCTGGAGTGCCGCTGCTGCTCGCCGTCGCCCGCACGCGTGCGGTGCAGCTCGTGACCTTCGACGGGGCACGCGCAACGACGTTTAGCTTTGTGGAGCTCAACGACCCCGTCATGGGCGGGCTCTCCACCGGGACCTGGGCCGTGAACGCCACGGCGCGGGCGGGCGTGTTCGACGGCGAGGTCGTGGACGTCCCCAGCCTCCAGGCCCCGGGGTTCATCAAGGCCGCCGCGGATGGCAGCTTCCCAGACGCGTCGAGCGCCGCGGACGTTGGGGGGCGCGCAACGGGGGGGCGATGAATGGGGGGGCAGCGAGGGCTGCTGAAGAGGGGCCCTTTGGGGCCCCTGATACGGCCCTTTAGGGACCCCAAAGGGGCCTTCAGGGCCCGGGTGGGGCACCTTTCTCCCTCCCCGCATGTATCGCACCCCCAATGATTCGCGCCCAAGGACGGAGACCTGGTCCTGGAGGTCCGCACCACGACGCCCGAGTACGGCGGCTTCCGCGTCGCCTTCGCCTCGGGCACCCTGTCCGCGGCCTACGCCTGCGGAGGTGGGGGGTCCCTGCCCCTGAGCCGAGGCTGCTTCAAGGCCAACTTCTCGGTGCCAGCGGGCGACGAGTTCGCTGCGGTGCGAATCCCCCTCCGGGCCTTCAGCGACAAGTGGAGCCCCGCCACCGGCGATCAGACGGTCGCCTGCGCCCAGGACGAGGACGTGTGCCCGACGGCCGCGAAGCTCGCCCAAATCGTGCGGGTGGAGCTCTGGGCCGAGGGCGCCCTGGGCAAGGCGCACCTCGAGGTGAGGTCCATCGCGGTGGAGCAGGTCGGCGCCGGAGCCAGGAGCACGGGCGAGGCCCGCGCGGCGACCCAGGTCGCAGGCCCGCGGCAGCGCGGCCAGCCCCCCGCGAGGTTCGGCACGTGCAGCGGACCGGTGCAGCCTGGGCTGCGGTACGGCATCTCGGGCAGGACCGAGGCGACCGTGCCGGTGCCCGTCGACCCCGACGAGAGCCTGGCGGAGGCCGTGTGCTGCGATGCCCGCACGAGGCTGGCCGCGGAGCCGCAGTTCCTCTTCGAGGCCCCCGACGTCGCCTTGTTCTCCTCGCTCCAGGAGGGTGCCACGGTGTTCTACGACTCCGTGTGCGGGGCCCCCCTGTTCCGCGCGCCCGTCGGCCGCACCGCGGAGGACTTCAGGGCCGACACCACCGAGCACGGGTGGCCCTCGTTCCGCCCAGAGGAGGTCGTTCAGCAGAACGTCGTCACCAACACCACGACCGGCCTCGTCTATTCCGCGTGCGGCACGCACCTGGGGTCGTACCTGCCCGACGAGCGGGGGCCCCGCTGGTGCATGGACCTCTCGTGCATCGCCGGCAACCCGCCCGAGCAGGAGCTGGTGCTCGTCTGAGCGCCGATCGGCCGTCGCCCCCGGGTCGCCGCCTCGGCTTGGGGGGCCTGGGCCACGCTGCTCAGCCAGCACGTCGCCCGCCCCGCACAGTTTCCGAGCCAGAGGTTCCAGCGGCAGCTGGTTCTGGCGCCCCGGGAGATTTTTCTTGTTTTCGCCGCCGCCGCCACGCTCTCGCCCCTCAGGGCTCAGTGCTCAGGCACCGCGGGCGTTGAGGGAAGAAACGAATCCCTCGGGCCCCTCTCCCCGCAACGAGAGGGAGGGAATAGGCTCAAGGAGGAATGCGTCGAATTCCAATGGCCAATTGATCGCCGATAGGGCCCTAAAAACCCCACCCCGCCCGGGAACGTCCAGATTCACTATCGGGGGCCTATCGCCGATCCGTCGGCGATGTATCGCTGATTCCATGTTGATGTGTCTCCCCCCAAGCCAGTCCCCCCCTTGTCGTTGCCCCTCAAGGGGGAGTCGGGGTGGTGGTGCTAGAGGTGCCCCTGGCCCGAGGTGCCCCCAGCTCTTCGCTCCCATCTGGAGCCCCTGGGGTCCTCTGGGCCTCGTGACGGGTGCTCTGGAGGCCGGGGGGGGGGCCTCCTTGGAATTTTTTGGGCATCTTGGGCCAGGGGCATGTCTAGCAACACCCGACTCCCCCGCTGAGGGGCAGCGATAAGGGGGGGACTGGCACAGGCTGGCGGCGCGCATGAGGGGGTGGAGAGAGGGGGGAGGGCTTCTTAGAAGGAGGCTGCTTCTTAGAAGGTGCCGGCCTTGCGTCTATAGATGAGGCCCGCGCCTTCTAAGAAGCAGGGGTGCTTCTGAGAAGTCCTCCCCCCTCCCACCACCCCCCTCTGCGCGTGGCTGAACAGGGGAGGACATCAGTCGGCTATCTGTCGGCGTCGCCTCGCCGATGCAGGCTCGATGCTTCCCCTCTCGAGCTGGGCCTCCCCCCGGGCCGGGGCCCCTCGGCGTGCCGCGGGGCCGAGCCCCGGGGAGGAGCGGCCCCCGGGGCGCCGCGCCTGGCTCTGGAGAGTCGGGGGCCGGGGGTCAGCCAGAGCGCCCGATCTTGCAGGAGCCTGCAGGGCCAGGGTCCCACCGACCCGGGTTGGGGTGCAGGATCTTGCAGGATGCCTGCAGGATCCTTCGCATTGACCAGGGTTTGGGTGCAGGATCTTGCAGGATTCCTGCAAGGCCTGGCTGACCCGGGTCTGGATTGACCCGGGTCAGAAGATTCCCGACTGGAGGTCATTTTCGCCGCGGCTGCCCTCGCGGCCGCCGTGGGCCTTTGGGCAGGAGGCGATCTGTCGGTCGACATTTCTCAGAGGAGGCAGAGGTACCAATACCTCTACCCTCTGCCCTCGTGCCCCCTTTTTTGGGGGCCTCCTGGGAGGCTCTCGTCATCACCGCTGGACTCGCCTCGAAGTTCTGGTCAGAACGCACCCCTGGAGAGGTCCGGGGAGCAGCGGTATCGGTGCTTTTTGGTTTCCCTAGTTGCTTGCTCCTCCTGCCCCCCTCCTCCTCCTCATCCTGCTCTTCCCCCTCCTCCTCCTCCTCCTCCTCCTACTCCTCCTCCTCCTCCTCCTCCTCCTCCTCCTCCTCCTCCTCCTCCTTGCACGGCCTCATGGCGCCAACATCGCAGAGCGGATTTCGTTCGGAAGCGGATAGGATGGGCCCGGAGAGTCCTGGAGAATTTCGTTCCGGATTTCGGCGTGAATTTCGTGCGTTTTTTTGGGGTGGGGGCAGGAATGAAGACCAAACAAACGTCCACGTGAAATTCATTTCGTTGTTCGCTCGCCAGTTCGGGCAAAAATCCACGCTTAAATCCACGCAGAACTCCGCTGCAGCACGTCTGCAAGGCCGGTGCAATGACTCCTCCTCCTGCCCCTCCTCGCCCTCGTCCTCCTCTGTCGAGCGCCGAGCGTGGAGCCCCGACGGGCCACACCCCGCCCAAGCGTCACTGCTACCCTGGGCCCCCAACCCCCTCCCCGTCACGCCAGGCTTGAAACAAAACCAGGGGCACCTCTCCTCTCCTGGCTGCAAGCGTTCTCAACTAGAGTCAAATCGGGCGTGTCCCTCTACAGGGGGAATGTTCTAGTCAAAAATAGTCTGGGGACGATTTTTTCTATTCTGAGCAATTTTGAATATTTTTGAGACGTGTTTAAGGTATGTTTTAGAATATTTCGTCCAACACCTGCCTCTAGGGGTACGTGCTCGACCTGAATCTAGAAGCTTCGATGCAGCGCCTGCCCGTTGCTAGTGATCGGGGGGCCAGAAGCGTGATCGCGTTCTTGTCCGCGCACCCCGTGCGCTGCTTGACGAAGTTTTGAGGTTCGGGGTGTCTTCGTCGGTCCTCGGCGGCTCTTCAGCCTCGGGATGCCTTCCAGCGGCTGCGCCTCGCCGAGAGCGTTCCAGGGGTACACAGATCGACCCGAACGTCCGCAGGAGGGCCGAGTTGTGACCCGAAAGCCAAGGGGCACCGCTAGGGGAGGGGGGGACGGGCTCAGCGGGGGATGCATCGGCCCCCCAATCGCCCGTCCATCGCCGACGGGCCTGAGAGCCCACCCCCCGCTGGAGCCTGCGGATCCGCTAGCGGAGTCCTGCCGCCGATCGCTCGGCGATGCATCGTCGATTTCAGCTCGGTGCTTCTCCTCCCCCTGGGCTGGTCCCCTCTGCAGTTGCCCAAGGTTGGCGGGTCGGGCGAAAGAGGGACACATTCGGCGCCACCCTAACATACTTATACTATATGTGTGCCGCCCCCCGAGGGCGACGCGCGCACCGCGAAATCTTATATGTCGTGGGGCGCGCTTTCTGGCCACACCGCTCGCGAAACGATCTACTACACCATGGGTATACTACCTGTTCGGGTCGGACGCGCGCCTCCAAGGAGGACATATTGTACTAGTATGTTTTTTGTGCCTCCCATAGATGGAGGAGGGGCTTGCGAAGTCTGCTGCATGCAGCCGGTGCTGGGAAGCTCCGGGGAACATCAGCCACTTGAGCTGATTCGCTAGCCGTTCTTTTACTGCCGCCCCCTTCGACCCACGCACGTCCTCGCGGGTAGGGCCCCTGGGCCGGGATCCTGGGAGTGAAGTGTCCCTTGGGAACGAGGCGGGATTCCTGTGGCCGCCCATGGAACAGATCAGGAGGTTTGGGGGGGAGGAACCAACGTCTCACTCAATCGATCCCACTATCGATCTCATAATCGACCTCACAATCGACCTGATTATTGATCTCACTATCGATATTACTGTCGATCTCACTATCGATCTCGCTATCGATCTCACTAACGATCTCACCATTGATCTCACAATCGATCTCACTATCGGTCTCACTATCAATCTCACCGTCGATCTCACTATCGATCTCACTATCGATCTCACTATAGATCTCACTCTAGATCTGACCATCGATCTCATGGGACTCCGCGGCGGGACACCACGGGACACCGCGGCGGGACACCACGGGACACCACGGGACACCACGGGACACGACGGCGTGACACCACGGCGGGACACCGCGGCCGGACACCGCGGCGAGACACCGCGGGTCACCAGGGGACACCACGGGGCACCATCACGGGTCACCACGGGACACCGCGAGACACGCGGGACACCGCGGGACATCACGGGACACCATGGGACACCATCTGGACACCGCGGCGGGACACCATCGAAACACCACCAGGGCATCATCGGGACACCAATCGAGACACCACGGGACACCACGAGACACTCTCTGGGCACCACGGCGGGACATCCCGGGCACCCTCCCGCCATGCGGCTGAGGGAGGGGCGGTCTTCTGTCTTCGCCGCGCCCCAGCCAGGAGGAGGGGTCATTCCTATCGCCGTCCCACGCAGCTTCGCCTCGTCCACACGCACGATACGAACCCGAAACCGAAACCGATTTCCTGGTCCTGTCTTCTTCGATCTCACCCCGTCACCTCGATCGTCGGATGTCTGGGCATGCGACCACGTATCCACGGGATCGCGCCCCTGAATCCAGACCGCGAGGGCGCGGATGTGGATACGCTCGTCGTTCGTGAGCTGCGTTCGTACGAAAGCGAGGAGTTCGTCTGTTCCACGGTGTGGCGCGTCTTTCAGGCTGCTTGCTGCGGCCATCCACCAAATCCCACCCTCGCTGCGCGCGAGGGCGGGATTTGGTGGATGGCCGCAGCAAGAACAAAAACGCCCTCGCTGCGCGCTGCGCGCGACGCGTGCGTCGTGGCGGGTGACCCCACCCTGCAGCTCGATATCCCCTCCTCCTGATGCGGCGCTCTGGCGTGCACGGCTGGGCCGTTTGGCTGCCCTCTCCGACCTATGTGGCGTTCCAGGCAGGAGCTCGCCTTCGAGGAAGATGATGATGATGATGATGATGATGATGATGATGATGATGATGATGATGATGATGATGATGATAATGAGGAGGAGGAGGAGGAGGAGGATGAGGAGGATGAGGAGGATGAGGAGGATGAGGAGGATGAGGATGAGGATGAGGATGAGGATGATGATGCTGATGCTGATGCTGACGCTGATTCTGATGATGATGCTGATGCTCATGCTGATGTTGATGAGTATGATGATGCTGATGCTGATGCTGCTGATGATGCTGATGATGATGAGGATGAGGATGATGATGATGATGATGATGATGATGATGATGATGATGATGATGATGATGATGATGATGATGATGATGATGATGATGATGATGAGGATGAGGATGATGATGATGATGATGATGATGATGATGCTGATGCTGATGCTGATGATGATGATGCTGATGATGATGATGATGATGATGATGACGATGCTGATGATGCTGCTGATGATGATGATGCTGATGCTGATGATGATGATGATGATGATGATGATGATGGTGCTCATGCTGATGCTGCTGCTGATGATGATGATGATGATGATGATGATGATGGTGTCGATGATGCTGATGATGCGGATGAGGATGAGGATGATGATGATGATGATGATGATGATGATGATGATGCTGATGCTGATGCT